TATATATATTGACATATATACATTTGTATGTATAAATATGTATAAATAAATATGACAGGCAGGCATAAGCCTGTATAGTCTTAAATGGGGGCAACTTTAAGCATCAGATTTAATGGACGCAATCTTATGTGTCAGACTTATTAGTCGTAATTTTAAGCGTCACTGATAAGGAGTTAGACTTATAAGCTGTCGCAATTCCAAAATCTTATTTTATCTATTTTTGGTTTTTGTGTTGTAAACTTACTTGTAGGTTTTTTTTTTTAAATGTTTTCTTATTTTATTTTTTTTAAACACCTGCAAGCCACTGGCGCACTGCCACAGGGCCACTTCATGAATATTTATTTAGGAGGAGGGATTGGTGCCTGACTCGTGGACTGCCTCCTGCGACCTGCAGTGCCTCTCTATTTATTTATTTAGTAGAGAGTAAGAGACACTAGAGTAGTGGCCAGGTGTATTTTATTTAGTAGAGAGTAAGAGACACTAGAGTAGTGGCCAGGTGTATTTTATTTAGTAGAGAGTAAGAGACACTAGAGTAGTGGCCAGGTGTATTTTATTTAGTAGAGAGTAAGAGACACTAGAGTAGTGGCCAGGTGTATTTCCAAATAAATAAAATATTGCAGACGACAACAACAATCTTCGCTTGCGTTTTTATTTTTTTATTTTTATAAAACAATATATGTATAAAACATAGCCTACTAAATTGAACAAAAAAAAACTATATTTATCTTTTTATATAAATAATATCAAAGGCATAGCCTTCTGAAAATTACACACTATGAATAATGTACTAAAAAAATGCACCGTTTCAGGCCCCCCTCCCGGGCCCGGGCCCAGGCCCAGGGAGAAAGTCATGGAGAGACTTTATTTTACGTCCTACATAACTTTTTTTTTTTAAACAAATATGTCTTGAAATCCTGATGAAACGTATTTATATATTATAAATAGACGTTTTTCTTCTTTTTTTTTATTATATTGTCAGACGAGGTCTTTTGCGGTTTTCATGATGCCGGCTTTTTATAATTATGGGGTTTTTAAATAAAAAAAGGGAATACAGACCCTATAGAGGCCAGAGGGCCAGACGCACGCGTAAGTGCCAAACCCTAGTAGCCTAAATACATGCAAAATGGTTTTCCCATAATATGAATATTGAACACAAGAGGTGCACAACTGCACACTCCATAGTTACCCTGTCAGTTAACACATATGTGGTGGATGTAGCCAGTTGGTCTCACCATAGATGGATATGATAGGCGAGGGTGAGACGGAGATGGAAGAGACTTTCTCGAATGCGCAGCAATCGCACACTCGCCCTTTGTATCGGTTTGATGCTGGACTGCCGGTCACAGAGTTGTTTAGTGACAGTGACGACGTCAGCAGCGGTGATGAGTTTGATGCTATTGATCCAATAGCCGAAGTCGGCGTTAGAAGGACATATGGGTCGCCATCCTGTGGTGAAAGTAGGGGGTTTTTTCTTGTAAAATTGAATAAGGACGACATTAATGTGAAATTGTAGGTGATAATTATTAAAGTTTACATGATTTGTTTGTCTACTTGCTGCCACCTGTCCCATGTATTTGATCCCCATATGAAGTGCTGAATATACTGACTGAAGATCTCGATATCATATATATGGACTACTGTTACTGTTTCTTGTATCCTATCTCAGCCTATAGAGAGCTCGAGAAAATCTACGTCACTCTATATTTGAATTTCTGTCCAACAACCTATATGTATGTGTTTGTGTATTAAAGCTATTCCCGATTTTACTAATGATCAATTGAAACAGCCATATACACATTTAATATATATATATATATATATATATGAANATATATATTATATTATTTATT